GAGCCCTTATTCTGGGGCTAATCAGATTCCAAGGATGTGAGCAGAAGGAGTCTCACAGTTTGCTCATACTCTTGGGTTTTGTAAAGAAAAGTGGCATATAATGTGCTCAGTAAATGCTGCCATTCAAACAAAAAACCATTCAGGCATCCCAAAGAAGAGAGTTGAATTACAGGTATTCAAATAGAAATTTATATTGAAAATACAATTGACTCAGTGAAAAATAATTCATCCCTATAACCACTAATACCCTGTGATTCTAGAAAACAATATAAAAAATGTATAATTATATCTAACTTTACAAAAGTCAGTGACCATTTGCACTCTTCAAAATCATGCAGCAGGTCACTCATTATTGGTATCAAAATAATACCTGAAATGTTTTAATTCTTATATTAAATCCAATCTTGTTTTGAGAACAATATTTGAAAACAACAAAGGTTAAGTCTATTTTTATCCTTCCACAAACCATTATATGATAAAATTATTAACCCAGATGAACAAAGGTATTGATCTCTTTGTAATATATTTGATCCCTCCCTTTCCATTCACAACAGTAGCCTCTTTTTTAGAAAACTGCTACTTTAATCAGAAAATTAGAAAAGGCAATATGCCTTAAATTAAATTGCACACCAAGAGTTTCTTCAATCTATACTGTTGTGAACAATATTTTAGCTGATTACTGTGACTGTCTGGTTTTAGGTCTTTAAACAGATGTGTGTTTCAAAGTAAACCACTAAATGTATTCCATTTCATGTCTGCATGAAACACACACCCAAACACAATAATAGAAAGTCAGGTGAAGTCTTAAATGTTAAATTACACTTACTTATAGCTGTGGTATTGAGCAACAGAGCTATATTTTATTACATATATATGTATTATTCCTGACTTAGGAATTATTAAAATCTGCACTTATCTGTTATATTTTAAGAAAAAAAAATTAAAACGCTTAGAATCACTGCAAATTGGAATTGGAAATCAGAATAATCATATCAGACCCCATAGCCTTAATGAGGAGGAAATCCAAAAAGTGATTTCCCCAGAGTTTAAGGTCTGCTTACAGAAAGGATCAAGAACCAGATTTCCTGATGTTCAGTCCTTTAAACTGTGCCAACCTGTCTCCCAACTCAAAACAGATTTTATATCATATTTAAACTAGAAAAATGCTAAAGATACTTGGGGCACTAGTATTTTTTTCCTCCTTTCAAGGACACTATTTTAAAATGTTATTAACTTGACTAATAGAAGAGACAGGAAGGGAGGAAGGAGGAAGGGGGTATTGAAGGAGGTTAGAAAATTCTAAACTTTTCATTTTCAGAATCCTATGAATTCCATTATACCTTCAGTTTAACTTCCACACATAAATTTATGACAACAGAAGAATCTTTGAACCATTTCAATTTCCTCCTACTCTGAAAAAGATATTAAGGGGAAAAAACTGAAATTGACAGGGCCATTAAAACATGACAGAAAGTTTTTAACAGTCTTCCCTCTAATCTGACAGTTCAGATCATTTCTCATTTCACCAGAGCCACAGAAAACTTTTCAACTACAAAGTCAGATTTCTGTATCCTTGAAACCAGAACTGATTTCCACACTTATTGTAACTGAAACTGTCTTAATAATTTCTGTCTCAATTTAAGAGCAGAACATGTTATATTTCTAGTAGGGGCTCCATTGATAAGAAGTTGTCAGAAATAAATGAGGTAATATATGTAAAAGTACTTTGTACGTTTGAAATTATTATAACACATGGACGGCACTGTATTTAAAAAAGCTCTATTAAGTGTGTTGCTGATGTGAATAAGATATACCATTTTAGTAGTAAATCATTAGATGCATTTCTTTTATGATCAGGAGCAAGACAAGGATGTCCACTATGATTGCTTCATTTTAACACTTATAATGGAGGTTCTGGCATCAAGACAAGATCAAGGTATTATTTCAGGCCTGTGCAAGATATCCAAGATGGAAAGTCAAAGGTCTGTTGCTGAGAATGTGAGGTATGATGTTGGATATGATTTTTATTCTACGGATAAAAAGGATAGAATAGGTAGACCATACTCAGTGGCCTTTTTACATATAGCAATTTTGGGGGATACGGGAAGAAGAGTCCTAAAATGAAAGACTATGGCTCAAATTGGAAAGGAAAGTGCATGCATAAACTTGAGAAGAACGTTCAATTTTAAAGTACTTTTAAGTATGCTTTCCTATTTGTAAGTTATCACCACCACCTGAGATTGCCCTGCATGAGCATTAAGCTGTTAAATAAGAGATCAAGAAGAAAAGGAACTGTGTCTATTTAGGAACCCAGCAAACTTTGGTTTTTATAACATATTCATCAGAATATATATATAAATATATATATATGTGTGTGATATATATAATATAATATATATATATTCATTTCTGCTCTCCCCCACTAACAAAGGGTGCTGCAAAATCATGTTTAGGTAATATATATTTTAGTACAACATTACGAGCCTTAGCAACTTTCATTTAGTATCTTGAATTTTTAAATGCTTTTAGTATGATTCTTTTCTTTTCCATATTTTTACAAAATATAGTGTAATTTAAAATATTTTGCAGTACAAGGTATTTTAAAGCTCCATTGTTGTAATATTCTTTACACAGAAAGAGCTTTAAAACGGTCTCATCATGTTGCAAATATACACTGATAATCTAACATAGCCTCAAGAGCTGTGTGAATGTATTAATCAATACTCTAATGAATTCAAGGTTGGATTATTATCTAAAATATCAAAGCAAAGGATATCAACTTCTAAATACACCAACTATTTAACTTTTATCTTTACATTTGGTAATGGTTCAGATATTTCTTCTGTAAATATTATACAATGAGAGCAATACTGTTTTTACTACAATGGAGCAAAATTGTAAGTCAGGAGGCTGCAAGCACATAAAACCATCTGCTTTAGTTATGTGAAAAAACTATCTAGTATCAACCAGACAAAAATTGAAGGAAAAGTTACTGATTGGCTAAAAATATGCTGAATGCTACGGGAAAAATGTTCTCCCATATATCATAAGTCAGACCCTTCTACATAAACTTAGAAACTACACAAATTTTGATGCTTTCCTTATATAAGCCAGAGCTAATTAGCTTACAACGTTTCAAAACTGGCAGAAAAATTTTTAATAATTACTTTTGCCATTTACACTTATATAGTGAATATGTTATACATTTGTAATAGTGTTCAATGGTTTGTGGCAGTTTTTAAAACTAGATGATATATTACTTTCCAGAAGTCAGTACACTCTCAGATTTTAAGTTACTTATGCATTTCTAGCTCTAAATGATACATTCATAGAAAAAGAGATTTCTGATCAGTGTTATAATCCTCCAAATGGCTGCAGCAAGAGAGAAGGGAAAAAAGACAAGACAAGATTGGGCAGAGGGCTAAACCACAAACATGCAAGAAGGATTTTAATGAAAGTTATGCCATCTGCAGCATGAAGCATCAATCCTACTTGGTTAGCATAAGCAGGCAAGTGCTTTTGTAAGTAATAATGAAAAAATCAGTAAATATAAAATGACACTGATATGTATTTCTGAATACCTACTGGCCAAATTTTATTAATCAAGAAAAAGATAAATTTGATTATTCAGGAACTGATTACATAACTTATAAATTAGCCATGGTATTTGACTTTTCTCCATATTATTACAAGATTTTTGTGTAGTTCACTTTTCAGAAATAATCTCTACTGGAATGGTAGGTGAGGACAATGTTGAGTTTACCTACCACATTTTGTAAGGCAACTTAAATTTGAGGATAAAAGTCAAAACTTTGTTTAATAGACTTTGTAATTTTTAGCTTTCAGCCTTAATTAGCATTGACAAACACAAGTTAACTACAGGTAATGATTTAAAAAGTCATTTTGCATTTCTGATATAACCTTGAAAAATTAATAATCTGAGGACTATTGTCCACTAACAAATAGAGAATCTTTTATACCCAAGTAGAGGATATTTACCAAATATCAGAAAAATGTTCTCTTCCAGGCTCACTAATAATAGGGGTAAAGATTTTAAAATGAGACTTAAAAACTTCATGAAGATGTATAATGTGACAAAAGTTAGAGTATACCAATAATATCAGAGAACTTGCTAGTATTTAAAAACCACATTGTTTCTTACCCTTATGTGTTGTCCAAAATTTAAGACAATTGCCACATAATCTTGTCAAAAGGGCAGTTATCAGCACTCCTCTGAGTCTTTACTATAGTAGCCTAAGAAGACATTTTGTTCCTTTTCTTTTAGCAGCAGAGCCAAAGTGAGGCCATACTGTGTCCTCTCCCTGATGAGGATGCTTGGAACATACAGCCAAAGAGTTACCTTTAGGAGTCAGTACTGAGCAAAGACACTGAGGCAGGAGGGAACAGAGACTCAGGAGACAAAGTGACCTAATATAGTTATTTTGGTTTTAGGCTGACCCTTAACCTAGCAGCCAGCCAGTCATAAAAAGAGTTAGAAAATCTGACTCCTAGAAAACCACAAAACCTCACTTCCTCCAGCAGTGAAAGTTTGACATTTATCAAATTGCTCCCTGTGTATAATTTTGCAACCCTAAAACAATGTAAAAACTAATCACCCAATGTAAATGATAACCCAAAATTTAACAGTAAGCCCCCTCCCCCATACCATTAACTAATTTTAAAAACTTAAAATCCTTCATTAGAGACAAAGAGGGTCCTCTTCTTCATCTGGGACGAGAGATTGCTACTTTATGAAGTGGCTCCTTTCTTACTTCTAGACTTAATAAATCTTTGTCCCTTTCTCCAAGCACCCTGCTTGCTCTTGAATTCTTTCTCATGCAAAGCAAAGAACTCTGGTGAGGGACTTTGGCCACTAGCATCAATAGGGCACAGTGCAAATAAGAAATGAAGACAGAAAAAAAATCTAAAAGTCTTTAAGATGGGTTCCTAAAATATAGCCCTATAAAATAAGTTAGAAAAAATGAGGTGGAGAGCCCTACCTTGCAGATCTTGTAGAGTGATTCCTGGCCATCTCCTCCAGTATCTTTAAAGTAATCATGTGCAGGAAATGTACGATGAATATCTCGAGTGATGACACTCTCCTGGGCTGAGTCCTAAAAAAAAAAAAAAAAAAAAGATAGACCTAGTCATTAATTTAAAATGTCTTAATTGAAAAATAATATGTACATATGCTAAAAAAAATACTCAAAGAGCACAAAAAAGTATGCTCCCCCCCACCAAAAATATCTGCCTTCCATCCAGATCCATAGTCCCATTCAGGGCTATAAAGGCTACCAACAGTTTCTTTTGTATCTTTTCATCTACCTATCTATGGATGTGTGAATATATGCTTATGGAAGGGGGAGGTGAGGAAGAGAAGTTGTATAAACATATCTCTATTCTTTGCTTTTTGAAGCACAAATAGAAGAAAACTATTGGCTCCTTTCATGTAATAGGATAACTTACAGAATATTCCTAATCAATATATGCAAGTATATATCATTCTCTGTAAGAGCAGCTATTAAAAAGAATGAGGTATCTGGATATGAATATATCACAATTTATTTAATACTCTCCTGTTAATGATGTTTTTGCATTTTTCTATTTACATTACAGATAATATCACTAGGAACATTTTTATACATACGTTTTCAAGACAGGTTCCTAGAGGTGGAACTGCTAGGTCAAAAAGTATATACATTTCATTTCTGACAAAGTGCTTTCCCTCCAGAGGTGGAGTAACAATACAATACAATACTCCAAACACTGGTGGGGTACATGTTTTTTTGATATCTGCCCAACACCACATACTATCTCACTTTTCAAATTGTTGAGAATCTGGTAAGTGAAAACTCAGGCTGCAATGATTTAAGAAGTAAATATATCAATCATTTCCCCCAATAGGTTAATTACTTAACTCATTCACTCCAGAAAATAAAAAGCCCCAAAATTACTATATTAAGATTACATATGCTTTAAAGAGAAATCTGAAGGTTCCTTTTAGACAAATTCAGGATCCCAAAGTCCAAAACTGAGTAAAATTCTAAGCTTTATAAAAGGTGATTAATCATTCATTTGATTCCCATAAATGTTGTTTATTTGTTTAAATGTCAAGTAAATAGGATGGGACTCCTAGCAACACTGATGATGAAAATATTTTGCACAATTTAAGGAAGTATCAGTGACTTCCAGTGCAAATTAAAAGTGTTGTTTAATGTCTTGCTTCCATAAAGATTTGAACAAATTCCCTATTTCAGTTAAAATCAAGAAAGGAAAAAAATGTTTAATACATGAGTTACTTTAATGAGTGCTAGCTCCCTTTTCTCTGCAGCTGAGAAGTATGTAAGAAGAAAGTCCTTGATTAGCTCTAAGTTAAGCCAGTGCCTTCTCTTGCTGCCTTTTTCATTTCAGCTGCTATTTCATGCTGAGTGGTAATTAGATCTTGTACCATGTGGAGAAAGGACACAAACTGAAATGTTCCAAATTTGCTAGCAAACACCAAATACACTGCAAATCAATCCAGAAGAAATTCTGATGGCTTAGAGGTATGTAATGCTACAGCTGAATAAAAATGAAACTTAAAAAAAAAGTATCATACCTTAAGTAAGAGATTACATAGAAAGTTTATATTTAGCAAGACAAATGCAGGTTCTAAGAATAAAGAAAATTTTCAGGGGAGGTGGAGAGCTGATACCAGGCAGAAGTTAGTTTTCACTGTCTAGGTTTTCCCCAATAGAAAGGTTCTCTTTCCATGCAGTAATAGCTCCCACTCACAAGCCATTTGAAAAGATGACCAATGAAAATGTTACTACTGCCATTGCTGAACTATTTCAGGGGCAAACATGTGCTGAGTGGTTCACAGGATAACTCTTTTTACACTTTTCAAGATGTTAAGGGAGAGAAATCATTGGACTATATTCCCTAGAAACTGCCTACTCATTTGGCATCACACTGTGTTTAAATGGTACCAACAGTCTGATTCACAGAAAGGGAAATTGATCAAAAATTTCTAGAAAGTAACTTTGCATAATACTCAGTAATTTTTTCTATGCACACTTGAATCTTCCTTGTTTCTAAAAATAAATGGGCAAAAATCAAATGAAAATAAAAATCAACTTTTCCTTAATGAAACTTCTCTTCCTAGGATTTCTTTTAAATGCTCTCTGGAGTTTTCTTCCAACATATTGCTATATTGCTCTCAGTTGAATAAGGGAACAATTTCTCGAACTTTATAAACTAAATAAAATATTTTGCTATACTGTTCACTGATCCCTTTCATATAACTGAAGGTCAGGAGGTACACTAGAGTCTTACAAATAGACTAATATGAACGAAATTGTGTATTAGACTAGAAGAAATAATTATGTTTTCAAAGCTAAAGCTAATCATCTCCCAACTACCCATATCGTTGAGAGTAAGAACAGTATAAATTTCAGGAATCCACACTTGATATTTGAGAAATCAGTCCCAAATTCACTCACTCTTTTAACAAATATTTGAAACAAAGCTAACACTCTGTAAAAGAATGATAAAATCATTTTTCTCTTCAATATTAATTTTCTGTTTAGACTTATTCCAATTATAGTTGTCAATTTTTTTAAAGATTTTATTTATTCATTCATAGAGACACAGAGAGAGGGGCAGAGGAACAGGCAGAGGGAGAAGCAGGCTCCATGCAGGGAGCCTGATGTGGAACTCGATCCAGGGTCCCCAGGATCACACCCCAGGCTGCAGGCGGCGCTAAACTGCTACGCCACCAGGGCTGCCCAGTTGTCAATTTTTATTAGAAATAAAATGAACAAAGAAAAACAAAAAAGAGGCCAAATATTTCACCATCTAAATATTTGGAGTTAAAAAGTTTCATGAGCAAATCCTTTTTCTTTTTTTATTATATATGACTAAAAACGTTTTATAGCACAACCAACACTGATAGGAAGTCATTTTCTTGGAAGGTTCCCATGAGCAGAGTCTCCTTAAATCCTGACAGTTATCATCAGAATGGGGAGAAGAAAGAAGCCATTCCTTCATGGGCAGTACTTCACCAATATCCAGAGGTTCACAAATTGACCTGCAATTTACTTCCCCATTAATTGCATCTCTCATTCTGATCTTCAGTCCAATATGGGAGATGAGTGGCTTTGGAGCCAGATAGACTTATTGGTTCTGTTTCTGGCTACTCCACTTAATATGTATAGTATCCCAAACATGTTATTTAATGTCACTAAACTTTAGTTTTCTCATCCGTAAAATGGGATGGTAATATAAAATTTGTGTCATTTAGAATAAAATAATGCATGCAAAGTGCTTACTTGGCACACTGCCTAGTATAAACTGAGTATTCATTAAAGAAACAAATAAAAATAGTAATTGTCAATTATTATTCCCCCTTTTCCTAAAGATTCACATTTTTAAAAGATTTTATTAATCTATTCATGAGAGACACAGAGACACACACACACACACACACACACAGAGAGAGAGAGAGAGAGAGAGAGAGAGAGAGAGAGAGAGAGAGAGGCAGAGACACAGGCAGAGGGAGAAGCAGGCTCCATGCAGGGAGCCCAATGTGGGACTCGATCCTGGGACTCCAGGATCACGCCCTGAGTCAAAGGCAGACACTTAACTGCTGAGCCACCCAAGCATCCCTTAAGATTCACATTTAACTGTTTTAAATGTTTTGGTAAAAATGCATTTTAGACATCTTTCTGTATGTGTACACTTTAAATAATGAAACAAACCACTGTTTTTCTTTGGATATCATGAACATTCTGAATAGAGCTTTCAGCATGATGACATTTTTAATAAATACATATCCCATTCTGAATTTCCCATCATGTATCTTAGGTGTCCTAAATCATCCTTATTTCTATTAATCCATGAATAGAGGCAAAAATGAATAATCATTTGTAAACTAATATTTTTATCAACTGATACACATTCTGGCTCCAGCTTTGCATGTACCCATGAAATAAAGATATACACAGCCCAGAAGGAGGACGGAAAGGACAGGGTATGGCAGAAACTACATTTGCCAAAGTAGCTACCATGTCCATCACTATTTCAGAATTTAGATTGAGAATCAGAGAAGGGTTGAAGTCACGGTTATAGAGAAGACAAATGCCATGGTCTCTTTTGCATGCCTTCCTTCTGGACCATCAACACCAAGGATGCAACTGGTAGGCAAAGTCCTTGAGATCATCTATCCTGTCTAAGGAGGAGTCAGGCTGGGCCACACACAAAAGCTGATTCTAATCAGTAAAGAGTAGAGTGAGCGGTCTGGAACAAAGTGAGACGTCTGGAAGAAAGTCTCAGAAGTTGAGTTTTATCTGTCTTCTTCCCACCCCACACCCCTGACACCACCACCACACTGAAACTAAATTTCAATTTTGTTTACCTTTGAAGAATTTTCTTTAAATCCCAAACTGCTAAGTCACAAGACTAAATTATCTTTTAATTTTCAAAAAACATCATCCCTAGTGTGATAAAATCCATCCTCTGTTTCCAACAGAGGATATAATTTGGCTTGTTGAAAGTCAATTTAAAACCAACTCTAAGAGATATGATAAGTAGTTCAATTAACTTTTGATCATTTTATGCGGATTCAACTTACAGCCTGCTATCAAGAGTATTATGTAAATTGTTCTTCTAGTATTATATATATATATTACACACACACACACACACACACACACACACACCCTGCAATCCTCTTAATTCCTATTTCAAGAGAATCATTGCTTACTTGTTTGTTGTGAGAAAAAAAAATGAATACAGCATTCAAGTGTCAACAAGTATTAGGAAGGCAGGTTTGGATGATCATAGCCTATTATTTTTTTATAAAACAATTTCTGGGCTGTCAACAACTGGAAAGGCATTCTACTACAGATGATTGTTTTCACATGTGACCTTAGCACCAGATGAAGTGTAAAAGTGATGTCTGATAAATGAACACCTTGACTACACCTTAATTTGCTACATTTTTACAACTATGACAGTATCTTTCTTATTAATCCCTACTGTCAAATCCAAAGCATAACTGCATTTTCACTTTTCATATACCACAAAATTATTTCAAAATTATTTCATTTATAAATACCATGCTGATTTGTTAGTG